GGTCGTTTAACCAATGCATTTTTGTGAATGCCTGTAAATACAGACACCCGCGTCGTGCTGCAAACTGGGGTTAACGGTGGGTGTTTTGAAGGTGGGGGGTACCTTTAGTGTAACTGAAATCTCATGTAATTGTTGGTTTGGCACAGCCCGGTGTGCTGTAGTGCTAGGGGCTGCTGCAGTGACCACGGTGGAGCCCAGGTGGGGAGCAGGTCCCTGGGAGCCCCCGTGTCCCCTCCTTGAGGCGGGGGGGCTGTGCTGGGGTGGGATGGCCATGCTGCATCTGGTCTGATTTTGGTTGAGCTCTTCGGTGTTGGTTCAGACGTTGAGTGCTGTGGGTCTGGCTGCATCAGCCTCCTGGGGATGGGTGGCTTTGACCAAACCAGCTGAAACAGCAGATGGGGGGGCTGTCGAGGGAGGACCTTGCACCCCGCCTGTTGGCAGACACCTCAGCAGAGCTGGGGTTCCTCTGCGAAGGCTCTCCAGACCTGCCGTGGCTTCTCCCAGTGACCCTGAAGGACCCCCAGGAGGAGCAGGGAGCTTGACAGGGCATTCCTGTTCTCTGGTTGTTGGGCTGCAAAGGCAAAGAGGCCTCCAAGGAAGAGGGTCTCTGCACCTTGCTGCATTGATTTCAAGCCTATGGTGACCAGGGTGTCTCAGTTAGCAGTTTCCTGTTCTTTTTACCCAGTCCAAGTTCTGTCATCTCCCAAACCTGGCTATTGATGTGGTGCCCCAGAGCTGTCCGGGAAGCAGTGGGGCTGCGTCCCCAGGTTTGTGTGTAGAAATGGCAGTCTCTCTCTCTCTCTCTGTGGCCATAGAAATACTGAACTTGAATGAAACAACGTATTTTTTTCTAGCTTTACTCTGGAAAACAGCTCAACAGAGCAACTATGTACCTCTCTGTTGGTAAAGTATCAGAAAGTGAAAACTCCTGGCAAAGGGAAGCGCGGGGCTGCTCTGCTCTGCTCAAAACCTGTGCAGTGACCCCGCTGCTGGCTCTTGGCCGTGTCCTGCCTCTGCTGCACAAACACAGCCCTTCACAGCCGGATGGTAAGCCTGGCCAGAGCCACCATCTAGGTTGTGATCTTCTTTTTACTTTTCCCTTCGTTTGGTCTCTTTCCTTGTTCTGCCTTATTTCAGGTTGTTTGTAGCAGAGCAAGGCTGTCACCAAAATCCTGGGCAGGGGATTCTTGTAACACCATAACATTACGCCTCTGGTAAATACCCTTTTTTCTTTTTTATATTCTCAGTTTTGTTGTTCCCTCAGGTCTAGGACTGAACCCGGAGGAGCAGAACTGGGCAAGGGAGCACAGAAGACACTGTACTGGTGTCCTGCCCCTTCCCCATGGCATTAAGTTTGGGAATTGCAGCAGCCTCTGAATGTGGGCACCGAGCGGCAGGGCTGGGGCACACTGCAGAGCAAGTCAGCTGTGAGAGATTGATGGAAACGGAACATTTTTCTATATGAAAGTTAACTGGCTTCGTTTCTGGGCTTTATAAATTATTTTTGAAGCACTGCTGTGGATTTGGTCCGAGACCTTGGATAGATGAACCTTCTGTGTTCTTCATTGGCAAACAGAGGGTAGTAATTGATTTCCCCCCAAGGGAAATTCCATGCGTAGGCCTGTTAATGCCCGCATGGTGCACGTTAATGCCCGTGTGGTACCTGTCAACGCCTGCATGGTACACATTAATGCCCGTGTGGTGCACAGGGCCGTGGTGAAGAACATGCATCTACAGCGGGAGAGTGCACGTCCCAGAATGGAGGATGTCTCTCTCTGCGTCCTCCTTTTGCTCATGTACTCTCTTCAGTTTCCTTTCTAAATTTAAAAAGTACCATTAAAAGTTGACATAGTGCATCAACTTCCTGCTGTCAAACAATGTTTTAAATTCCTGAGCAGCTGGAACAGTAGAGACATGAAGGAGCTGGCTCTGCTGGACGCTGCTGGTCCGGGTAGGATGCATTTCTGGGGCTGTAAATGAGCACTGGCAGACCCTTGGGAGCAGAAGTTGGGGTCGGTGCCTTGATGTTTCTGACTGTGGCACAGAAGGGAGACTGCTGCCAGACACAATGGCATGGCACAGGTACAGTGCTGGCCTCCGCCGGGAGCGCACCGAAGTGCCCCTCTGTCCCTGGGGACCCCGTAAAGGCCACTGGAGCAGGGGCCTGTGGGGGCAAAGGCTGGCAGCGTTGAGGGGATGGGACATGTTGGGGAGTCCCTTCCTTGGCTTGTGCCTCCACATGTCCCCTGACCGCTGGTGCGGTTCTCAGTGGAATTAGCAGTGCCACGGGTTTATTGGAGCCACGTGTGGAGGATCATCCTTTGGGTTCGGTCAGCATCGTCTGCTGAATGGCTGCTGGGAGGAGATGATGCGTGTGGACAAACGGGGGTGGAAGGAACAGGGTTAAATCTGCGCAATCAGGTGATGGTTGGGAAGATGCATTTTGGGACAGCATCCTGGAGGCGGTTGCTGGAGTTGTCAAGCCCCGTCTGTGCTGTTGCTGGCAGGCAGCTGTGATTCCCGTCAGCGCGTCTGTACTTGTGCGGAAGCTGAAGGGATACGGAGCAGGAGGTGGGGTTTGTTTCAGCTGCTTGTGAGGCAAGAGGGGATTTGGGGGAGAAGTAACACTGAGCAGTGAGGGTTAGAATCATAGAATTGTCTGGGTTGGAAGGGACCTTTCAGATCATGGTGTCCAACCATGGACCCAGCACTGCCAAACCCACCACTGACCCATGTCCCTCAGCACCACGTCTGCCCGGCTCTGAAATCCCTCCAGGGATGGGGACTCCACCACTGCCCTGGGCAGCCTCTGCCAAGGCTTCACAACCCTTTTGGGGAGGAAATTGTTTCCAATCTCCATCCTAAACCTCCCCTGGGGCAACTTGAGGCCGTTTCCTCTTGTCCCATGGCCTGTTCCTTGGGAGAAGAGACCGACCCCCCCTGGCTGCTCCCTCCTTTCAGGGAGTTGTAGAGAGTGAGAAGGTCTCCCCTCATCCCCCTTTTCTCCAGGCTGAACACCCCCAGCTCCCTCAGCTGGGAAGGGGAACATGCTCCGCACCGAGGGACCAGCTGTGGCTCCAGCCGTCCCCAGTGACTCCCTGCTCTTGTTGGCTCTCCCCTTACTGTGCTCTTGCCCCGGGGGCACTGAGGGCAGTGAACCTGGTACCTGAATCACGTGTCTGTGGCATTGTGCGTTATCCGGTGCGTTCCCGTGGCACCAGCATCTCTGCTGTGTGGGTACCGCCGCAGACGGCCAGAGCCGGCAGGGTCAGGGCTGCCGTGGGTGCAGGGGAGCTGTGTTTCTGCTGGGATTCTGCTGAGCTCTGCTGAGCTCTGCTGAGATGCAATGACGTTGCAGGGGGTGGTGCTCTAGGATGGCTGTACAGTTTTACATACCTCACCTGGTGTGTTCATGGCACGGCTCCATGGTACTGATTTCAGAAAAAAACCTGTGCTCTGTGTTTTAGGTTTAGTTCTGCAGACTCACCACACAGGGGCTGGATTTGTTTTAAATTGGTTTCACAGCCCAGCATTAGTTTGTCTCATCCTTGGAAAGTTTCATCCAGGTGATGTTTTCTGTCTGACTTTTCCCCATGGTCTCCTCAGCGTGTCAGAGGAACAGCACTCGTGAAGTTTGTGAGTCTCAGGTTTTGGGATTTGCAGGCTCCTCTCTAGAGCTGGTTCTAGAGGTATTAAGTTTTCCCCTGAGAAAATTACATTTTGACAAAATGAAAATATTAGGCAAAATAATATGTGATGAAATTTTGTTTAGGAAACCTTTGAAAGGAATTGGACACGTTTCCACATCCTGTTGGGTATTTTTCAGATTTCTTTTTTTTCTATTTTCCAACTGGGAATGTTCAAAATGAAATTTGAAATGAATCACTTTAGAATTGATTTTGCTTCATACAAAAAAAAAATATTTTTTCTGTATCAAATTAGGGGAAAAGTTTTTTCTCCGGGTGGAAGATCTGCTTTGCTCTGCCGCGTGGTTCACAGGAGCAAGAGCAGTTCCCCGACTGTCGGTCAGAGCCTGACTGCTTGGTTAGAGCTCTTCCCAAAGACCTCACTTGCATGGTGTTTCTGCTGTGTCAGACACTTTCTAGAGAGCCTTCCCTGAAACTGGCTACTGCAAGGTTTGATTAAAATAAACTCATAAAATCCTCAGCCAACCTGCTATCACAGGTCTGAAGACCTGGACTGGAAATGTGTGAGATGGGTGTTTTCACACTGTAGTCTGTCCAAGTGTTGCCTGTTTGGCAGAGCTGCAACTTCTAGAGTCTAGAAATTAATGTATTCATCAAGTATAGCTATCCAAAAGAGAAAAAAGAGGAAAAACCAACAACCCAACAAAAACCAGGCGGACTTAAAGGAGAGCCATTAGAGCCCTCAGGAGAACAAGGTTTGGTCGTTGGCCAAAGACAGGAAATCCCACCAAGAGTAAAGCACAGTTTCACAGCAGACAGTGGGGCAGCTGTGCCCGTTGCACTGTGCAATAATAGTCAGTGTTTGGGTGGCCCGAGCTTTCCTGGGAAGTGTTTTAGGTTCGGCAGGTGGGTGGGTGATAGGAGTTTGCTACACAGCACACGCACACACCGTTGGGGTGGGAGGCAGATGACCTTTGGGCTGTGCCCACCATGGCTGGGGTGCTCTCCTGCAGCCAGCTCTGTGCTGTTGAGGGGTTTGTGACATTCCATGTCAAAGGCATGTGTGAGGTGTGTGCCAGCCCTCACAGTGTGTACCAAGAAAAGGTGCCTCAGCATGGGACTTGTGGTGGGGCAGGGGGTGGTGGCTGGCAGCTCCCGATGGTCTCCAGGGGGTGATTGATCCCAACTGAGGAAAGGGATGGAAGAACCATGGCCTATGGTGGGTGCTGCCACGTTATTCCTGCTGGTTGCCTCGGGTCTCCTGAGTGGGGGTATTCCTCTGGTGGCTTCTTTCTCCATACTGGGGTGTTAACACTGCTTATTCTGTGTTTTCCTGGGGTGTCATGGCTGCAGGCAAACCTGAAGAAGTTCATGGAGTACGTGCAGATGCTAAATGCGGAGAAGGTCTGCAGACTGCTGGAGAAGGGACTGGACCCCAACTTTCATGATCCGGATACTGGAGGTGAGACTGGCTTCTCCAGAGAGGGGAGGGTGACAGAACAGGGTTGAGGGAGAAAGTGTCCGGGGGACATAGTGGGAATCTGGGGGGCGTGGTTGTTTTTGAAGAGGTGCAGCAAACTGTAGTTTGTCTGGAATGTAAGGTGTGGAAGAGAGGGGTGAAAATTGAATTTGTCAGTAGTGTGTCTTCTTAGGATGCTTCGGGTCTTGGGAGCGTGAAGTTACAGAAGGCTCTTGGGAGAAGATGAGGTGTGTGTGGGAAAGGTACAGAGTCTGGGAATACGGCACAAAATGAGAGAGTGGTGGGGCCATGCACCTTTCCATGTGGGATTCTGGGGAGAATGAAGCTGTCTCTGAGACTGGCAAGTTGGAGTCACTACCTGAGGATCTCTTCATGAAGCAGTCAGAAGGTTTCAGTATTTTGGGGCTCAGGGAAATCAAATCTTGGCCTCTGGTTTCCTCGATTTTTTGTTTTCTCATTTTTCTTTTTTTCCCTGTGTGTGTGAGCAAAGTTCACACAGCTCACCCTGCAGAGGTCTGGTCGCTGGGGTGCTGGTGGGCTCTGGGCCGTCAGCGGGCTGCTGGCTGTGAGCAGTGAGACCACACTCCAGCACCTTCTCCTCATTGATGGGGCGGTGAGGGAGGATTCGATCCTTTTCCCCTTGCTATGAAATCTCATCGTCTTGTTCTGAGAGACGAGTTACTGCTTTTGTTGTTCCTCTTTTAAAGTAATGCAGCTGATTAGTATTTATTATAGAGTTGGACTCCTGTGTGTGAGTCAAGGGCACATTTCCAACCCATGAGCAGACTCCAATCTGATGATTAATTTCCTGTGTTTCTGGTTCAGTTGGATGGTTTCTCAGGTTGTTTCTGAAACACTGGCTTCCCCTGTACTTGGGAATTCGGTGTGTGCAGCCTGTTTTTCAGCAGCGGGATCGGGTGGCGGAGCGAAGTGTCGGTGACACCATTGCCCTCTCTTGTCCTCCCAGACAAGGTGGCTGTGTCCCACCTGCCCTTTGGGAGAGCCCCTGCCAGCCCCTGAGCTGGGAAGGTGAAAGCTGGTGCAGCCCAGTGCTGGGAAGAGCCGTTTGCACAGCGCCCAGGAATGTTTATAGCGTTTAATTTGCTGGTGTAGCTGCTCTGAACCTGCCAGAGTGTCCCGATGAACAACTCAGATGAAAAATAGCTGATAGCAGGCCAGCACGGTCACCGTCGGCCCTGGAGCATGTCCAAACCGCTCAGCGTCATGTGCTTCCCACTTTTGTCCAAGATCTTACAAGCATTTTGAGGGATCTTTCCTTTTAAAGAAAGCCCTCTGCTCTTGTAAAGCTGATTCAGCTTTCCAGAGGATGTTCTGCTGCAGAGCTGCTTGAAAAGGTGCTGTGGGAGTTTGGGATCTGATACAGGTTGAACCCAGATGTTATTTCACAGAAAGGTAGAGGCTCCGAGGAGCCGGCTCTTGAGCACTGAAAAGACTCAGATGTAGAGGGGGAAGAAGGAAAAACACCTGACCCAACTAGTCATTTGGATCCGGTTCAGAACCCAGGGCAAAACCAGATGCGTAAATAGAGTGTTAGAGCAGAGGGAGTCTTGGAAACCTCACTCTGGGGCCCTCATTCTTGTGCAAAAGCAGCTCATTACTGCTTGCCTTACAGTCTGTTTGGTGAGCTTGAAAGAATGACATCAACTTGCTGTTTAATATTCATGGGCTCCTGGAATTTAAGGCCAGATGGAGCTGTCCTACCGTCTGACCTGACCTCCGGTGTCTTGCAGGATGCTCCTCACCCTCTGTGGGTGCCTGTCACTAAGCAAAGCTTAAACATGTTTTCCAGAAAGTCATCAATCTTGATTCAGGGAACAGAAGATCCCTGCCTTTCCTTCCTTATTGGGTTAATCACCCTCATGGTTTAAAATTTGTCTCTCATTTGAATTTGTATGCTTCAGCTTCCAGCTGTCGTTATACTTTATCTTCCAGATTAAAGAGCACTTTAGTACCTGGTATGCCTTCACATGAAGGTATTTATACATGGTAATCAAGTCAACATTCAATCTTCCTTTCCTTAATTAAAGAGAGGCCAGACTCCCCCAGTCTTTCATTTGAAGGTATTTTCTCTAGTTTTCCTGTCATTTTTGTGACTTACATGTCACTACTCCATTTTTAGGTGGTTTTTAAGAGCGCAGGTAGCAGACAGCGTGCTGCCTCCTGTGCCACCCATCCCAGGCAGACACAGCAATCCCTGCAGGTCCTTGATCTGTGGCCTCTGGGCATTTGGGAGGATGAGGGTGACTGGGGGACTCTGGGATGGGACCCCACATTACGTCCTGCTGGATGGAGGGGCTGGGAGGACCTCCCTTCCCGTTCCTCCTCCTGCCTTGTGTCCTGCCCCCACCTTAACTGGGATTACTGGGCTGAACAAAGTGGAACCACTCAGGAGTTCCTTGCTTGGGAGTGTTGTTTTGGGGAGGTTGTTTTCCTTCCCAGAATCACAGAATGACATGGGGTTGGAAGGGACCTCTGGAGAGCACCCAGTCCAACCCCCTGTCAGAGCAGGGACACCCAGCCTCGCATCAGGGCAGCGACCTGCATCAGCCATACTGGTGGTGTACCAAGAGAAGACGACAGGTTTGAGCAGGAAGATCTATTTACTATAAAGCATTATTGGGAGATGTTAATAATACAGGTGTTCTTTAATGCTGTGTCCATTAAATTCCAAATCACTTTTCCCAGCATTTAAATCCAGGATCGGTTTTATTTCTCTGACTTCTATTTTCATGAATTGTTTTCCTTGCCTCTTTTTGAACACTGGCCTGGTGCTGCTTTGCTTCTGGTCTTTTTGAATGTCCCAGTATTTCAAAATGTATTAAAATTTAACTTTTTTGGACCAGGAAGATATTCAGGGAGAAGATAAGGAGGATGATACACAACATTCACTGGATGTAAGCAGTTTGTTCAATATTAGGTAGCTCATGCCAAAAAATCTTATTTCGTAATGGAAGGAAAATAATGCATTTCCACAGCAGCAAAATAAGAAAGAAACGATGGGTCATTTTTCTATCTGTATTTGTCAGCAGTTACACGCTATGGCTTGGTGACAGACTGTCTCGCACGGGGGCCGGGAAGCCATTTCTGTGCTGCTGACCCGGGAAGGGCACGGGGCAGCCCTCTCCTCTTGGATTTACGGAGCTGTAGTTTTGGGTCGCACAGAAATTGTTTTTCAAGACTTCCCAGTCACCTTTTACTCTTCTCTTTTTAATTTTAAACCTCCCACATTTCCTGTGATCAGTTACCTAATCTAATTTCCCTTGATTGATTCCCTCAGGGAGCATCAAATATTCACCTGGCTAGCTGGGATTTTCTTCTTTCCGCATCGTCCCTAGCTGACTGGACAGGAGTCAGGTATTTAGCAGATGTTCATTTATGATACTGAGATCCAAGGTAGCACTCCCGTATGTTGGAGTGAAACAGTATCTAGAGAAAAGTGATCAGTTTTCTCTTTTTTAGAAGATCAAATGAGATTTTATTGCTTATTGGCTGGGACACCAGCGTTTTCCTTCATGGTGGAGTTGCCCCAGTAGTGCAAATGATAATTTATACAACTTGGAGATAAGCACTTAGAAATTAATGCATTTTTTCTTTAGTGGTTTGTAACAAAATCTTATGAAGAACCTTTCAACTTACTACTTCAGACGCTAATCCACACGCACTCAAAGTCCTGTTCTGAGTAGTCAGTGGTCACAGGAGAGTTGGTGGGATTTTAAGGTGAACTCGTTCTCTGGTCCTCCCCTGCCCACTCGGCGCTTTCTCATTCTCCTTACAATCAGGCATCCTTGATACTCTAAAATGGTGTAATTGTCTGTAGATGTCAATACTGACAATTATATCGCAGTTCTTACTACCTGTAAAAGCAGTCCCCATCCTTTGCCTTGTTTTCCAGCCTCTGAGCATTTTGCAAAGAGGAAGTAAAAAACCTTACTCACATTCTTTGTCAAATGGCTTTAATTACTTCTGTTACAGTGCATTTGTGCTCTGCTTCCCTCTTTGGAATCATTTCGCTTGTGTTCTTAGTTAAATGTCTTCTTAATTGCTCTACCTATTTCTCAGCTGAGATCATTATCTCACCTCTGGGTCGGGAGGAGCTGGTCAGGTCATTCACTGAGAATCCTCCAGAACGGGCCGGAACATCCCGGTTTTGCTCCCGTCATATGGCTGGTGAGTCACATCCAGTGGCTTTTTGCAGGATCCCTTGGGGTGCTTGTAGGACTGAAGGGATCTCTGGGATGAGAACGTGGACTCTTCTGCCCTTCAGCTTTCCTTCCACGTCCTTGTGTCCAGCAAGTTCCTGCCTTCTAACTTCCCAGGCTCATCCAGCACCAATGGAGAATTGGGGGCTGTCCTCAGCTTCTGTGGAAATGCAGTGCTGCTGCGTGGTTCCCCTTCCCTTGGGAAGATTTCCAGGTTTTGGTGAAGGGCACCCGGACACGTTTCGGTGTCTGGCCCTGAGGCTGGAGTTGGTTGCCTGGATGGGGCACCTGGCACGAGGGAGTGCGAGACATTGGCATGGACCTGGCTCAGAGCGGGGCTGGCAGGGGAGCTGTGGGATGGGGTGGGATGGGGTGGGATTGGCACCCGCTGAGCCGGACGGGTCCTTTCTGGGCGGCTGGGGGAGGCAGCCTCTTCAGCCAGCACAATTCCAGTTGGAAGAGGATATTTTAACAAGCCTTCAGGGTGTTTCCATGTAAAATTGTGCTAATGTCATTTATGGTATATTTTGAAGGCTGCACAAAGCAGCAAAGATAGTTATTTCAATACTAGTACCTTAAGGTTGGTTTGGAAGAGACTTAACAAATAGCTCTTTTATAAAAATAAATGTATTTTGGCTATTTTTCTTTAGTCTAGCAATTTTTTTCTTTTTTAAAAAGTAAACATCTGTACCGTGGCAGCGCATATGGATGGAGCCTTAGGTTAGAGCTCTATGTGCAAACCCGCATGGAGCAGCACGATGA